TTACCACCTCTTTCCTACCTTTCTCTGATTCTCCCTCTCCTTGAAAAATGCAGAAACTGACTCTCAGAATAAGTGAAGGCATTTGACTGCTAACCAGAAGTTGGCTGTTCAACCCGCCAGCCACTCCGTGGAAAGAAGACTGAGCAATCTACTTCTGTAAAGATTTACTGCCTCAGAAATCCAAAGGGGATCGCTATTAATCAGAATTGACTCGATGGCAGTGAGTTTGGTTTAGTTTTGCATCATGTGCAAAGGGGCAAACAATGTTTACACTCAAAGACACAGACTCATGGGGCCAAGCATCTAAACAACGCTGACCCTTTCTGAGAAAGATCTACAACACTCAGAATCATCACTACTGTGGTGATTGGGTTCTTGTGAGACTCAAATGAGACATGTGCCAAGATTCCTAAAACATGATACAAAGTTGTTGTATCATAAATATTTCCCTTATTCTAATGATAATAACAGAAATACTTTCCTGTTTCTTCTTTAGAGAAAATGCGAGTACTTTTCCATATAACAGGATTATAGGAGTCAAATCTTAATTTCTCTTTCTATCAGTATCAATTTCCACTTTCTTCTAATTAAGAGACACTTATCAACAAGTATTTTCTCTGTAGGAAGAGGGTGGAGAGACTACAGAGCTACACTACCCAATACGGAATCTCTGAGTGATACAAGACGTTAACGTGTTCAGCTGCTAACTGTGAACTAAAAGGTTAGAGTCCACCCAAAGGCGCCTTGGAAGAAAGGCTTGGCAATCTACTGCCAGAAAAAATCTGTCATTAAAAATCCTGTGGACCACAGTTCTATTCGAACACATGTGGGGTTACTATGAGTCAGAATCAATTCCACAGCAACTGGGATTTGGTGGTAGCACTAGTCACATGTGGTATTTAAATTTAAATTAATTAAAATTAAACAAAATTTAAAATTCAGTTCCTCCATCGCACTAGCCACAGTTCAAGTGCTCAGTAGCCACATATGACCAGTGCTACCATATGTGACAGCATAGATTATATAGAACATTTCCATCACCGCAGAGAGTTGTACTAGACCTTGATAATCTAAAGAAAGGCCATTTACAGATACTAAAAAAAGAAAGCTGTTCATTTTTCACTTGGTAAAAGAGTCCCAAGCCCTAGGTAGATAAGCTGGTCTGACTCAGAGTACTCTGGGGTTTAGTCTGAAGACTACTACTAAAGATTCCTTCATTATTTCAAAGTATCATTCAAACTGGCCTGTCTAAAATCTCTTTGCATTAAGACTTTCAACTACTAAAAGTTGAAATCTAAAAATACAGGAAAATTGAGATTTGATGATAACAACAATTTATTAGAGTAATTTGTGAAAAACATAAAGAAGCATGGTCCCATCGGTTCCAGGAACAAAAGTTTGTAACTTACAGTTAAAACAAACAGGAAACTGAGCTGAATATTTACATTAGGTAGACACACTCTTTGGAGAGATCAATCATGGGAGAATGGAAGGGCTGTGTATGTGCAGCAAGACAGCTCAGGGGGCAGGAGTGCAGGGAAGGACACAGGGAAGATGTAACTATGGGGAGGAAGTAAGAGGGGAGCTGTTGCACTGTGGGAAACTGCAGTCAATGTCATGAGACAAAGCATATGTGAGCTGCTGTATGGAAAGTGAATTTGTTCTGTAAACTTTCACCCAAATTGCAATAAAAATTTAAAAAAAAAAAGAAGAAAGAAACAGGAGAGAATTTCTGTTATTATCATTAGAATAAGGGAAGTATTTATGATACAACTTTGTATCATGTTTTAGGAATCTTGGCACATGTCTCATTTGAGTCTCACAAGAACCCAATCACCACAGTAGTGGTGATTCTGAGTGTTGTAGATCTTTCTCAGAAAGGGGAAGACCAAAAGGTAATACACTATCTTGTCAGTGTTGTCCTGCTTAACTGGTTACTTAACTGGTCCCAAGAGGCTAGACTATAGTGAAACCAAACGGCTAAGACTGTAGAGGCCAGCTAGCACTTCCTCTTTCATGAGTCCAGGCTGCCCAGATAATCTGGCCACTGTATTATACAAGTGTGCAAAGTCACAGGAGAAACAAAGCAGGTGAACAGACAAGAGTATAAATCCATTTTTGTGGCTTAAAACAACACAAAGTACCTTCCCTCTTGACAATCAAAAAGCAGGTAGAGTAAATACTTCTTTGAAAAAAGAAAAACAGCAAGAAGAAGAATGAAGAAAACCAAAGATGCATGGAAATAATAAGTTGAAGGGACTAGCAGACCATGCGATCCTCAGCCTATATGACCATGAGACCAGAAGAACTAGATGGCGCTTGGCTACCACTGTCAACCACTAGGAAAGGGATCAGTGCAGGAGATCCTGGATAGAGTGGGAAAACAATGTGGAACAAAACTCGAAATCACAAAAAAAGACCAGGTTTGTTGGCCTGATAGAGCCTGTTAAACCACCCAAAACTATGGCCCCTAATTACCTGTCAGATCTGGAATTGAACTCACTCCTGTGGCTTCCAGTCAAACAATAGACAGGCATATAGGGTGAACACTTCCATCAGGTGGATACACTCCTTGGAGTGATCAATCATGGGAGAAAAAAGGCAGTGTTTGCATAGGAAGATAGCTCAGTGGGGGCAAGAATGCATAGGAAAGGACACAGGGGAGAGGTAACTACAGGGAGGAAGTGGGAAGAGAGCTGTTATACTGTGGGGAAGTGCAGTCAAGATCACGAAACAAATGTGTATGAACTGCTGTATGGAAAATGAATTTGCTTTGTAAACTTTCACCCAAATCATAATAAAAAAAAAAAAAAAGAAGAAGAAGAAGAAGAAAAATTGCAAGATCTTCACAGGCATGATTGTGGTGGTTCTGTGACAAAACCTAAATATAATGAATTATTATGTTTGTCAAAAAATTAATTTTTCCACAGAGCAAAATACATCCCCCCAAAAGCAACTTGGGAAAGGCAGTAGATGAGAAAAAATGTGAATTAAGCAACTGCTATAAAGTCATTTTAATGTCTCTATAAGTAATCCAAACAGATTGCCTTCAGCTAATGACAATATTATAATAAATGAACATTTATTTTCAAATACTTTAACATGTTTGCTTAATGTCATAACATCTATCAACTAGTCATTACTGTTAGCAAACTTCTTTACCATTTTTTTAATTTACCTTGTCCAGTGTTTGAGCTTCCAACTTGGGGAGCTTGCAAAACATTCATTAAATAATTTATAAAGAAAGAACATGCCATTAAAATTCTTATGTCTATTACTGGAAGATTAAACTCAAATGTCTACGTTATTAAGAAATGACAGCTGTATTTATTTAGGAAACATTGTGTCTCTAGGATACATATAAGAAAAAAGTTTAGGATTTAATCCATAAAAACTGAGCCTGCATAGTTCTTTGATCAACAAATATTACACACATGAACCTAAGCATTTTTCCTTGAAATAGAAAACTTTTTAAGTAGGTCAACTTATTAATTGTTACTATGAAGTTTATATATCTGCATTAACATATTCTTTCGAAGAATGGATTCTGGACAGCTCAGAATGGAGACACAGTCCTGCATTATTAAAGTCTGCGTTTGAATCAAGCAGATAAATAAAGAAGCAGAAACTAAAATTACCCTTCAGGCTTTGTTATTCTAACAGATCCAAGAACTGTTTTTAAAAGATAAATTATTAGTATACTGGGATCTCTAACAAGACCACGCAGGTAGGACGTCAGAATGTGTCCCCTCAGGCTCTGAGAGGGGCTTCCGTTGCAACTGGGCTATATTCTCACATCTGTAGTCACAATTCTGGCTCTGCCATGAAAGGCAGTCTGACTGGAATAAACCACACACACGCACACACACACATACACATCAGTGAAGTACTGGGATATAATAAAGTAGTGTGAGGGCAGGAGTGGAGAGAAGGATGAGTACAGAAGAAAGGAGAATGAATGTAAAATGGGGAAATCCTCTCACTCTCTATTAGATTCATTTGAGGAGGGGGAAACTATACTAAACAACGGCTCCCTCCATAACCCACTTTTTAATTGCACCGGCTGATCGAACAGCCTCGGCTACCCACCCACCTCCAGCTCCCCAAGATACCGAAATCACATTTCTTCCCAAGTGTGCACCTAGGAAAGGAAAGCAAGACGGTGCACTAAGAGTGGAGGGTGGTGCACAGAACAAGGCAAGTTAGTGCCTCCTTCCCGGATCCTTGCCTTCTGAGCTAGCCTGACTAGATTAACGGTAAAGTGAACGGCGAATGGCAAAGAGACCGAGGGGCCAAACTTGGGGGTCGCCACGGAACAGAGTCCACCAATAACAAACGGCCTGGGTATCGGGATGGGGCGGCAGTGGGGATACCTGTCAAAGCACCGCGCCGGGGCCGCAGCCGACCGGCGGCGCAGAGGCTCCGCGGACGGCACTGCGGCGGCGGCGGGGACCAAGGCGCGGGAGAGCCGGTACCGGCTCCCGGACGCCGCCCGGCACCTCGCCTCGCACTGGGCGTATGCCCTCGGGGGTCTCGAGAGGGCGGTCCCGGGCCGGGAGGTTCTGAGGTTGGGGCCCGAGCCGAGCAGAGCCCAGTGGCCGCGCGGACCCTGCCGCCCGAGCCCCGCTGCAGCGCCTACGGTCTCCGGTTTCCGCCTCCGGGCGGGGCGCGGAGCCGGGACCAGACGCCCCCTGGCTGCCCGGCGGGCCCGCGGACAGGCCCAGCCCGGGGGAAGGAGGGGGCGCCGCGGGCGCCGCGCCTACCTGCTCCGGTGCGGCGGGGCTGTGACCTGCAGCAGCGGCGGTGGCGGCGGGAATCGCGGCAGGGAGGGCGCTTCCTTCAGGAAGGGGTGGGATCTGCCGGCCCGCCCGGCTCCCTCCCGCAGCGCCGCGGCCCGCCCCCGACTTATTCTGGGGTCCCCGCTGCGAGGCCTCCCAGGGAGAGCCCAGCCCCCTGGGTTTCGGGCTTCTATCACTTCCTTCAGGGCCCCTAGTAGTTACCCCAGGCTGGAGCCGGGTGTGGATGGTCGAATCGCTTCCTTCCAAAGCCTTTGTGGACGCGTTTGCCTGGCGCTCCTCACCCAACAAAAGGAAGGACAGTATATGGGAGCCACCGCCTGGTGGTTATTTATTCCTGACCCGTTGTAACCTTCTGGCTGGCTCCCTTCTGTCCACACACCTACAGCTTTTGCACATAACAACTACAATTCATTTTCAGGCCAACCGGCTGACTGTAGCTCTCCGCCACTCAGCGATCTCCCGCGGTTTTCTCTCATCTTATTCAGCAAACACGGGATCAACTTCTGACGCTGGCGAAGAAGAGCAGACTCCAAGGCCACCTTCCCAGCACTCTTCCTCCCAATACCTCATCCAAACCTGTTATAAAACTGCATCCACCAGCATTTTAATAGCTTCTCCCCATCTCAAACCCCAAACTATCAGTGGCACCGTGTCAATGACCTCTAGCAACAACTGTGGATAAATGCCATTTTTATCACACGTTGTTCGTTAATCTGTGGTCCAAAGTAATCTTAACTGGGTTCCCTCAGTGGGTCCTCCTTTACTCAACCTGCCTTAGGCTGACCCCTGTTCTTCTTCTTCTTCTTTTTTTCTTTTTTCTTCCGTACCACACCTGTGTCCTTTAAATTGTTGCCGCCCAGAGCACAGATTTCTAACAACCTTCTCCAATTTAACCCATTCAAATTCTCCAGTTCAACATAAGCTTTCGGAACACTTCCCTTTCCCGCCCCCCATACACACAATTCCAATGATTATGCTTAAGGAATGTGACTGCTAACCAGAAGGCTGGCGGTTCAAACCCACCAACCACTCCTCGGAAGGAAGGTTGCGCAATCTACTTCCGTAGTGATACCGCCTTGGAACCCAAGGAAGGGTCGCTAAGAGTAGATATGACTCCACGGCAGTGGGTGGGCATGTATGTTTAATTGATTTCTTGCTTATAGCTTCTCCTGGCTACTAGATTCCAATTACCCAATAAGCAAGGTGAGCACAGGCTTACTTACGTTTACTTGCTAATCAGTAGTGAATAATTTCACATTTTTTCACCACATCAACAATTCTGCTTCTAGGTATGGTTAGCATCTTTCTCCCAACCCCACAGGACTTTCCTACAGAATCAAAACCTATTTTCAAATTCACAGTCCTTGACAGGCGACAGCATGAGCTTATTTGCCTAAGGCATTTGACTGCAAACCGAAGGCTGTCAGTTCAAACCCACCAGCCACTCCTCAGAAGGAAGACTGGGCAATCTACTTCCATAGAGTTGTTGTTGTTATAGGCCACGGGTCCAACAGTGACCCCTCCTTGGGTTTTTGAGGCATTATCACTACGGAAGTAGATTGCCCAACATTCCCTCCCAGGAGTAGCTGGTGGGTTTGAGCCAACAGCCTTCTGGTTAGTAGTAAGTTAAGAATTGCCCATCTATGGACCCCTTCAAACTGCTATCAAGTCAATTCTGACTCATAGCAACCCCCATTGGGTTTCCAAGGCTGTAAATCTTACAGAAGTAGATTGCCTCATCTTCCTCCTGTGGAGCAGCTGGTAGATTTGAACTGCTGACCTTCTGGTTAGCAGCCAAATGCCTTACCCACTATGCCACCAGAGCTCCTTATGTACACCCCAGCTCTAATCCCCATTCTCTCTCCTCTCTGCCATTCATTTCTCTCTGAGAGGACTAAGAAAGACCTCTAGCTAGTCCTTCTTCTGATACATTTTTTTCTCAAATTTCTAGTGGCGTAGTGCCTAAGGCAATTGAAACCCACCAGCCATTCCTCAGAAGGAAGATTAGGCAATCTACTTCTGTAGAGATACCACCTCTGAAACCCAAGGAGAGGTCACTATGAGTCAGGATTGACTAGATGGCAATGAGTTTGTTTGTTTTTTTTTTTTTTTAATCCTTCCAAAGAATTAATGATCTCTTTCAACTCTGTCTAGACATCATACTTATCAGTGGGAACTAAAAAAAATACAAATGTCTGATCCCACCTCAGATATTGTGCATTAGAGCCTCTGGTTGGGAAAGGAGGAGGGTAAAGTGTAGAGCCAGGACAGGGTATTTTTACAAATGCACATGATTCTGACATGTCTATGACTAAGTCACTGCTTTTTTGGCAACAGGGGTCCTAACTTATTCTTAAGGAATTGTTCTTACTTTTCCTTTTCTCTATGGAAGATTTGATACCATGTTTAATTTGTTGAAATAATTTCAGTTTCACTTAGAGTCAGGCCCTCTTTTGCTTAAGAGATCAACTTGATTCTGTGAAAATAGCAGGTTCAGGTCCACTTGTCAGCAGCACTAAATCACTGCCAACTTCATCTCCAAAATGTCCATCCAAATAAAGCTAAAGGGTGAAATAAATTACATTCCTGACAGTAATATTCACAGCTGAAATATTATGTTAAAACACTGACCACGAAAAAGAGTTGGTTGCTGTAAGCAGATTCCCTCAATGTCAGTGAGATTTCCAGTGAAACTTGAAGAGAACCAAACACAAACAGAGCATAGCTTACCTGAGCTTTTATCTTTCTCTTATCTCTTGGTATCCCATTCATTAAAATTTATCAACCATATACTCAATACGACATTAACCAAAACCCAAAAACCAAACTCTCTGCCATCAAGTTAGATCCGAGTCACAGCGACCCCTCCTTGGGTTTCCGAGGCAGTATCACTACGGAAGTAGATTGCCCAAGCTTCCTTCCAAGGAGTGGCTGGTGGGTTTGAACTGCTAGCCTTCTGGTTAGCAGTCAAATGCCTCAGATATTTTAAATAAATTATATATATAATTTATGAGCAAAAGATAAGGAAATGATCCCAGAGCTGATTGTCTTTTAAAAACTATAAAGATTCACCCTAAGAAGGGACATTTTCAGTAAATGCTATAACATATTCAATTTTGCAACAACAGTAATAATAACCAAAAGATCTGAGTGTGAGTAAATAGGTAGAGGTGTATGCATATATGTCTATAGGAGGGCATATATGAGTGCATCATGTGTAGGTAAAGGTTTATCTATAAGCAAAACAACAACAAAAGAAAAAAGATTGCCATGGAGTCAATTCTGACTCATAATGACCCTATAGGATAGAGTACAACTGCCCTATAGGGTTTCCAAGGTTGTAAATCTTCATGGATGCAGACAGACTTATCTTTCTCCCTTGGAGCAGCTGGTGGGTTCAAACCTCTGACCTTTTGGTTAGCAGCTGAATGTATTAATCACTGCACCACCAGAGCTCCTTAGGTGTACACATACTCCAAAACCAAACTCACTGCTATAGAGTTGATTCTAACTCATAGCAACTGCCATTGGTTTTCCAAGGCTGCAAATCTTTACGGAAGCAGATTGCCTCATCTTTCTTCCACAGACCAGCTGGTGGATTCAAACCACAGACCTTTTGGTTAGCAGCTAAATGCCTTAACCTCTACACTGCCTATAGGTATATAGGGATACATGTTTGTATTTGTTGCATATATATCCATAGATATAATAAAGCACAGGGGGGCAAAATTACAGAAGCTTCCTAGACATATCCAAACAATTCATAGAATTGGTTTACTGGGTTGAAGAACTTAGGACCATAGTCTCGTAGGATAACCTAGTCAATTAGGTATAACATAGTCCATAAAGTTAATGTTCTGTATTCTAATTTGTTGAGTAGTGCCTGGGACCTTAAAAGCTTGCAAAGCCATCTAAGATACAACTAATGGTCTCTACTCCTCTGGAATAAAAGAGAATGAAGGAAACAGAAGACTTAAGGAAGAAACTAGTCCACAGGACTAATCGCCCGCACAAATTATGGCCTCTTATTACTGGAGACCAGAAGTAGATGGTACCCAGTTACCACTATCAGTCATTCTGACCAGGGACATAATAGAGATCCCAGTTAGAAAGGGAAAGAAACAGAACAAAACTCAAATTCATAAAACTGACCAGTCTTACTGGACTGATAGAGACTGGAAGAACCCCAAGACTATCACCCTAAGATACCTTTTAACCTAAAACTGAAACCTCTGAAATCATCAGAGGTGACCTTTCAGCCAAACAGAATGGATTATAAACAATATTATCCATGAGTGCTGTACTCCTTAAACAATTAACTATATGAGACCAAACAGTCAACATTTACGTAAAAGAAAAGATGAGAAGGCAAAGAAAGGAAGGGAAGCTAGATCAATGGAAACAGAACAAATAGAAAGGAAATAATGAAAATGCTGACACATTGTAAAAATTGTAACCGGTGTTACAGAATAATTTGTATAAAAATTGTTAAATGGGAGCCTAATTCACCATATAAATTTTTACCTGAAAAAACAAGACAGTACTGAAGAAAAACAACAAAGATTCATCATGTATTCTTAAATGATCTGTTGCTAGCATTCCAAAATGCTTCAGACTGTGAGAAAAGGCCCACGCATAGAATTAAGAGACTGAGCATGGAAGAAATAGAGGTTAAGGCCTGGAGATAGATGCCAGTCACAAACCTTGTGGGGTAAGATGGGGATTAATACTCGGACTTCATCATTCTACAGGACCACAGTGAGGCATCATGATTTTGCCACTATGTTGCTGTCATGTCTGCTGACCTAACTGGTGAAAAGCACAAGCAACCATGCGTCTGAGTAGGGTGATGGTTTTTCTGATGTAAGTGAATTTGTCATCTAACTGAAACCACCACAGAACATTTAGAATTACAAAGAAATTCTGTATTCCTGCTCATTTCCTTTCTCTTGGGCAGCCAATTTGTTGTTATTATTGTTGTTAAAATTCAATCCACTTTCCTTATTCAGTTGGAAGAACAGACTAGAGAAGCACAACTCAGAAATAACATTCCCAGGAATTCCAAAACACTGCTGGTCAAATTGCAATAAATCCTATCACAATAAAAATCTTTGTATAACAAAGCTATTGCCAACACTTATCCAACGACTGGTAACTCGAGTAATATTTGGTAAACAATAAAACATACAAAGTTCATTGAAATGGCATTTGATCTTTGCCCAAATCTATCTAATAGAGAAAACTTTGTAGGGGTAATTGGAAAGAGTAAGAGAATACATTTTGTAACAGCATGTTAAATGGGAGCTATTATGTTATTTCCATCTTGACAGGCGACTCCAGATACTAGTTGTCAGTTACTCACACATTGCAAACAAAATGCAGGACCACC